CCCCAAAACCCCAAAACCCCAAAACCCCAAAACCCCAAAACCCCAAAACCCCTATCTTTCATAAAATTGTTGAAATTTAAAAAAAAATTAAAATTCAAACATGAGTGAGTTTCTTAATAATTTGTTCAGAAACAAGCGTCCACAAAAGTAGCCGAGGCTCATCGATTGATAAAGAGTTGATAAAGCCTGGTAGTATTCTCAAATCTAGGCCAATTTTCCCCATGCCTCCAGTATTAGGAAAAACTCCCAAAAATGTCCCAAAGATCAACAAAAAGTCCCAAAAGATAGTTGAAAAGATGGGCAATAGGTATAAAGGATACATGAACTCCCACCCCAGCACTCACAGTAAGTTCCCTTCCTAATCTCATAGGCACTGAAACTCCCAACACAAGGTAAGCCTCATTTAACCTTATTCCTAGCAGGCCAACATCCCACAAACCCATCGAAGAAACCCTCAAGCCATCCATCAACAAAAATTCCAAAATAAAGCGTAACATTCGCGATATCTCCAAGCGAAAGTACCCCTCCACCGCTCACTCCCAGCTAAATCTCCCCTCTAAAGTACTACCAAGAGAAGAAAGTAAGCTTTCAGCTTACTTTCATAAGCACTTGGCTGTACAGGCAGAGAAGGAGACAAAGCTTGTAGAAGAAATGGAGCGGTTGAAGAAGAAAAGGTACAGGAGTTTTAAGTCAGAGAGACTGGTGAAGGGGAGAATGAAGGAGAGGGTGGAAGAGAGGCTGTTGAGGGAAGGCAGATTGAGAGATCAGAGGAGGGAGATGATGGCTGAGGAGGGGAGGAGGACTGAGAGAGGGAAGAGAGGTAAGGAGGAGTGGTTTATGGGGGTATAGATGTGATTGAAGGGGATAGGAAGAAGCAGGAAGGAAGAAAGGTGTTCAACAGTGATTTTGATGAGAAAGTAGAGTTTGGAAGTGATTATAGGTGTTAAAGAATGATCAGAAGTGAGAGATGAGTGCTGGAAAGGATGAGAATATTCCTAGCTTAGCGAGTTATCATACTGAGCCAATGAATTACCACTCAAATGCTACATTAAGGTAACTTTTGAGTTATTAATAATAGTCCTTCCAGCGAAAAGCCTCTAACTTTGTCTCAAATTGAGAATTCAGCTAAAAGAAATAAGATCTGTACCAAATATTTGACTGCCAAAAGAAATGAATTTCAGGTAAACTTTAGTAAAAAATGCAACATCTTTATAAACCCTTGTTATACAATTTTCCGATATTATCTTCTCACTAGAAGCTCTCACCAAGACTCCCAACAGCATTAGATTTCAGAAAAGGGTTTGCCTGGTACCTCCTTGCTAACCTCTGTAGAAAATACTTTACTCAGACAGACCAACTCTCGACTCAGAACAAGCAGTCATTTGGTGGAACGAGTCTTGTCTCCCAAGCTGAGACAAGCCTTAAGGCTATCAGCCAGTTGGAGTGTCAAAACCCCTTATCGCCTATAAACCACTCGTAAGTGCCTCTAATTTACTGTAAAAGCTCTGAAGAACCAGAGAGGTACAGAGCCAAGCACAACAAGTCAGTTGATGATGCTAATGCAGCGATTATGGCATGTAGCCCCCACCATGACTCTACGAGGTATCTCCATGGTCACATTATAGCGTGTATTACCAATCCCTGTTTTCTAAAGTTGAGAAGAAGGCTAATTTGGGGAAGCACAAGCAATCCCGAGCTCAACTACCTAAAACTATAGTAAGTCCGAAGGAGAGCAGGTAATTGAGTCTTCATATTTTAGGCAAAATTCAAGGTTTCAGGCTAGAAAATGCGCAAATCAGACTGTAGATATTAAATCTGGGATCGGTTCAGCTAAGAATTTTCCTCCTGATCTCTTCTGCCACCCTCTCTATGCAAGGAGAAATAAGGATGAGTCGTCTGAAGGAACTCAAAATATTACATGTGATGAATACCAGATCTATTACACTTTGTAAATTTATAGTTAAATCCTCTAGCCATGAGCCTGATAGTAAAAAGCCACTGATTGATCCTAAATATGAAGCATCAATTTCAAATGTGCATCTAAGAAACCAGGATTCTGCAGGTGAAAGTTTTCCATATATCCAAACAGATTATCAAAATCTACATGGGAAAACACTTAAAGAAAAGATGGGTGACTCAATTGTGGTAATCTCCAAAGGATGTCTTAACACATTTACCTCTAAAACTCAGAGAGCAAAAGGTTTAGAGCCTGATTTGAAATCAGAGATGATCACTCAAATTCTTGAGAATGACCAGTTTCGTACCTCAAAGCACAGTAGTCTTAATCAGAAAAATGGTCCAAAAACGGCCAATGACCAGTTTTTTGTCAAGAAGGTTTCTCAAAATCGGCCCAGAAGTAAACAGAGTGTTGTGAACGAAACTAACAGCAGGAAGTCAGCAACCGGAACTCAAGCTAGAGAGGCTCAAAGTAGGTAGAACTCTTATTCGAAATATGTTTAAAGTCATCGGGAATTTTTGACTAAATTTAAAGCTGTAAAATTTTCAAAAGAATTGCCTATAAATATCTAAATTTAGAAAGCTATTTGCTGGATAACACAGCAGGTGCAGTTCCTAAGAGAACTTCCTCAAGAACCGGATCTGGTGAAATGAGAGGAATTCTACCTAAAATTCTCCATAATTCCAAACACACAGATGACTTCATGACTAGAAACAAGAGGTGGGTCGAACAGAAGAAGAAATAAGCAAAGGGAAACCAAAGAAATTCAGGATAAAAAGAAGTTACAGGAATGCACATTTAAGCCAAAAACATTAGCCAAAGAATATATGAACAGGAAGAAAACTGAGAAGTTGAGAAGTAGAGTCTCTAGGTCTCTGAGCCCACAGAAGATCAAGATCTCAGACCAGTTTGACCTTTCTGTGCTGAAGAAAGCTAGGATGAGAGTTGAGCATGCCGATCAGGAAGACCGCTTGATAGGTCAAGCTTCTCCTAAGAATATCCCACCCAGTGAGGTCAAGGAAAGTCAGGGTGAGTCCTGTGCTAGTGATAAGGGCAATCCTACTGATGAAAAGCTCAATGAGGCGAAACAGCTACAAAGTGAGGCTAAAAGAGATATAGTCACTTTGAACTTAAGTCAATCTCCCAGGATTCAGCACAGAATCCTTAGTAAGCCTGATACTACAGAGTTTTTCAAAGAGGAGCCTACACAAAGACAAAAGTTAGGCGAGCTTCCTTCAGCAAAGAGGTAAGCTTTGGTATAATTTTTAGGCTAATATTTAACCCTAAAAATGAAGAGGCTAAAGAGACAACCGAAAATGATCAAAACTTCAATGAGGAGAATTTCGAGTCTCTTATTGTTGAAAAGGAAAACAAGACACCAAATCATAATCTTGTGGACAACAGACAAAGAACTGCCATCTTCAGTGAGCATCCTGTGAGGAAAGAAAGCTCTCCTTTTGCCCTTAGCATGGCTGATAGCGGACAGAGCTCCCCAATGGACTATGAAGTCAAAGAAGAAGTAGTTGAAATTGAAGCAGATGACTCAGGCTTTGATGATTTTGATGAATTCGAACAAACAGACAACCAAAAAGACTTCGAAGAGTACAAAATTGAAGATTTTAACAGCTACCTAAACCTTGAGAATGATGAAGATTCATTTTCAGTAGAGTCAGAGCTGAGCATTCCTGTTGAAAATGCTGATACGCATTTCTAGATTCTCATAAGCTTTTCTATACTAAAACTAGTTTCGCTCAATCTTGTTGCATAAAACCGGGGTTTTGGGGTTTTGGGGTTTTGGGGTTTTGGGGTTTTGGGG